GGGCAGGATGGAAGGATGGATGGGCAGGATGACAGCACCCAGGCAAGCAACGGACAAAGCCACGGCATCGTTATACCAAGCTCTGGCGCTACCAGCATTTCCGAACACCATCCCCCCTCCAAACCCCTTCCCCCAGCTGCTTGATTTGACCTCAGCTGCGGGCAAAGGGCATCGCTCCGGTGTGTGTCAAGAGGCAATTAAACCTCTCGGCTTAGAAAATTAATTAGTCCTAGGATGGAGTCTTTGGAGTAGGGTACAAAACCCCCGAGGACGGAGCCAGAGGTCTGGGGACATTGGGCACTTGGGGTTGGCCTTCATCCCCTGCCCGTGGCACCGGAGGGGTGACACACAGGGTGGCACCCGGTCGCAGACAGAGGCTGGGGGCAGGGGAGGGCACTCTGGCAGGCACTTCTTCCTTTGGGTCACTGTCCCCGTTCTTCGCCAGACACGATGTTACAGAGCATTTTGCAGAGGTGGATCCTCCACCACTCCCCGTCCACCTTCCTGGCTCAATCCTGCCCAGGTTGAGGGCAGGCACCACTTTAAATCGCTGCAAACATACTTATTTGATAAGCACACGGCACCCCAACACCAGCAACGCCCAGCAAGCGACTTCCGACGTGTACAGCCCCAGCGCTGCTCGTTATTAAGCACCCAAAGATGTGAGGGACGTGGCAGCTGACCTGGAAGGTGGCAAATTGATATTTGCACCTTAGGGTGGGACCTGTCTGGGAGCATGGGTGGCCACAACAGCGCCAGTGACATCCGACTCTGTCACGCTTGGCTACCTTTATACCCAACCTGAGGGCAACTGGGACACCTCGCGCTGAGCAAGTGTGGCTCCTCCACCAAACCATGGCACTTGGCTGAAGAATCGGCATTGTCGACCAGAACCAGCTGGGACTGAAGCCTGGACTGGGACTGCTTCGCAGTTCCAGGGTTGATATTAGATTTGGTTGCTCGTTTGGCTCCAGGGAGCGGGGAGGAGAAAAACCAGATGGGAGCAAGGGATGGAGGGAGCTGAAAGACACAACTCTGAGGCACGAGGCATCCCCACCTCTCACTACCATCGGGAGCTGCCGTGCACCTCGCAGCCCAGCCCAGCAAGCAACCAAAGTTTCTCTAACGATCTTAGCTTTAAAAAACAAGAAGTTTACCCTGCCAAAATCCTTCTGACGTGTTGAAGCTGCTCTGTGCCCCCTTCCTGCTTCGGCTCAGCTCGGGAGCCGCGCCGGCAGCCCCTCAAGCTCTGCGCCCCGCAGTTGAGTTCCTCACTGCCTTAAACCTGGCTCAGAACTCCGGGCAATCGGGGCTCTGCCTGAAGGAGCAGTGCGGGGCCCTCACCTGAGTCCAGGATGTGGTTGTTCCTCAGGTCGAGTATCTGTATGTAGCAGTTGAACTTCAGCAGGTTGCCAAGCTGAGCTGAGTCCTGCAGCCCATTCAGTTTGTTATCAGCCAGGTACAGCTCCCGCAGGTTCATGTTCATCTTCAGAGCTGTGGCTGAAAAGGCGGCAAAACCAGCACCTCAACCCGCATCCCGCGCTGGGACGGCTCAGAGAAGAGGCACTGCCGGCTGGCGTGCCTGCGTGGTCGCTCACCGGTGGCGACGGCCTCCGCACAACACGCCAGCTCGGGAGCATCCTGGCCATGCTGTTACAAGTGTTTCTGCCCATCCGAGCACAAAGCGGTGCCACAGAGCACGCAGCCCCTGACTGCGGCTGCACGGGCACCGACCGCGTCACAGCCGGGACACCAGCTGAAATCCTCAGTCGGATTTCTGAGGTGTTTGGCCAGCAGTGGGATCCCGTAAGAGCCCCTTTTTGCCCTCCCACCCGCAGAGGGAAGTGGCAGTGGCTTGTGCTGGCATGAAGGGGCTGCCCGTGGCCAGAGCCAGTATCAGTTTGTGCAGAGCACATACCCTTGCCGGCACACCACCTTTTTCCAGCTAGGCCAATTTAATAAACAATTAAACCCCCAAAACTCTCCCCTGCTGGAACCCTTAGCTCACTGCTGCTCTCACAATGCTGCCATTAGCTCCAACCTGGCTGTGATTTATTGTTAATTCATTAGCTTAACGATGGGGGCCACCCAGCACGGCCTTACACTCATTGCCCGCAGGCTGGGCTGGCACAGAAACACCCGGTCTCCCACCTGGGACAGACACCAGCGCTGCCACACGTCGGCACAGGCACGTCGGCAGCGACCGCCCTGACACCTCGCTGCACATTGCTGGGACAGCGAGCCTGGCGTTGGCATTGCTCTGTCCTGTCCACCTGGCATCCCATCGTGTTTTGGGATGCAGGATGGGCACTGCAGATGCCAGAGTTGTGTGCCCACTCTCCAGGGACTCACCCAGCAGCATGAGCGGGCGTCCCGAGAGGCTGGCATTCTCCAGGTGCAGGACAACCAGGCTGCTGCTGATACGGAGGGCGCGCGCCACGAAGGGGGCTGAGTGGTCCAGCAAGGGCGTGTTTCGGGCATCCAGGTACTGCAGGCAGTTCGTCTAGGAGGAAGACACGAGAGGGATCAGTGCTCGGTCCCATGTCGCCTCAGCCGCTTGTTTTTTGGTTGTTTTTCTGGGTTGCATTTAAAACCAAGATATTTTACAGGCCAAGTCCCACCCTGGCCACCGATGCTGCCTCCAGGCCGCTCAGATAAGAGCTCCCAGGATGACTTACACCCACCCGAAACATCGTTTTGGTTACCCCACGGGCTTCAGATAAGAGGCAAAAAGCCAGAAGGAACTGCTCAGATAACCTCATGTGCCAGGAGAGCCCGCACTGAACTCCACACAATTCCAGATAAGCACCTTATCTCCCAGAGAATCACTTTGCACCGAATCTGCCGTCACCCTCAGGCTACGGCACCAGGAAGGATGCACTTCAGGTGACCGTAGCAGCATCACGTTCTCCAAAGAAAAGCTTCCCTTGTCCTTACGCATCCAAGGATGTGTTGCCCCGAGCTCTCCGGATCTAGGGTCTGGGAAGGCGTCAAGCCATGGGTCCCTTGCCTGCGGTTTGCCTTCGAACCCTAAGACCCTTCCCTGGATTTGCACACACCGTCTATTCCTGCTTGAGATCCGCAGCATGCCAGTGGCCTCTTGTTTGGCTGATTCACCATTTTCCATGCTAACACAAGCCCTTTCACACCTCCAGACTCTCCCTCACCTACCCAGAAATTAAAAACCCCAAGCTGCAGCCATCCCAAGGGTGTCTTGAGCTCCTTCACCACACCTGTGTACATGCAGCCGGTTTTAAAGCATTGTTACGGGGTCGGCCAGCACCACATGGTGACTTTTGGCTTCTCCAAAACACAGGGTGAGCATTGCCTGCACCCTACGAGCTCCAGTTCCTGCTATCAGCCCCACCACGAAGATGCCTGCATGGCGGGGAATGCTACCGGGCCGCAAGCTTCCCAACCGGAGCTGTGCAACGCACCGGTGGCACTGGGTGAAACACCGGCAGCGCCAAAATTAAAATTAGCAGGTCGAGAGGTAATTGAGGATCAAGGGTGGTTTTGCACCGCACCCCAAGCGGGGAGCACAAGAGGCTGCCTGGGCTTTCAGAGGGAACTCAAGTGCTGAACAATGAGGTTAATTAGCCCTGCAAAGCCAAACCCTGGTGTGAGTCATCCCGCTGCAGAGATAATGAACACCCAGTTCGAGAGGCTGACCCTGCACGGATGCCACTAATAACAGCCTGCTCTTTTTTCTTTGTTTGTTTGTGTGTTTTTTTTTCTGGGATGTGCGTTTCCATTTTCTCTGCTCCTGGTGCTCGCCCAGGCATTAAGCAATCTCCTGGTAGGTAGGAAGGGTGATATTTTTTTTTTTCCCCTGCCTCCGAGCCTGGGCTAACCAGGGCTTTCTGAACTGGGTGGTTTTCGGCACAGGTGAGCACAAAACCAAACCTACAGTCTCAGGGAGCATACAGGAGTCTCTTGAGAGACTCACCCAAGACCACCCGTGTAGCTGCAGGGAGTTAAAGCGGGTGTCAAAAATATTCATGAGTGAGCACAAACCTTCCTCATCATGTGGGCAGCTGCCTGCCAGCCGCGGGTGCCAATGTGTTTGTTAAAGGAGATGTTGAGGTGCGTCGCTGACTCGTAATACTCGATCATGTCAAATAACGCCGAGGCGCCCTGCGAAACAAAGGCAGAGGGAAAAGCTGCGTTAAGCGGGCACACAGAGGCTGAGCAGGGTTCAAGAAGGAAAAAATAAGAGGTTTTGCTGCGCTAGGACACAAACAGCTTGGGCACAAGCTGGCTCCTCCAGACGCCTCGTGCATGACTGCACATCACCGCTCCGGTATTTAGGCATTAAGCTCTTGCAGACAAGGTCTGTGATTCCCTCCAAGGCAGCCCAGGCAACCAAACCCCTTCCTTCAACCGCAAGCTCAAAAAAAACGGCACCTCAGGTGACAAGTCCACCTGTCCCCATGTCCGCTGGCCAGCTCCCAGCAGCCCGGGGTGCTCCCCTGGACATGGTACAGCTGCGTGCCCATGGTCTCTCCGGCCTCTTTGAAGGACCCTCTGCAGATTCGCTGCCCAGGGATACTCCAGCAGGACAAAAAAAAAAAAGGCATCTTGCCATATTCCTGGTGTCCCTGCCACCGGGCATGTGCTTGGGGACTGTCACCACAGCAGATGGGGACCTGGCAAGGCCTGGGACAGGATGATGGGTCCGGCGCAGCTGCTCTTGTCGCAGGCTATGCTGGCAGAGCCATCTCCCAGGGGAAAGCCTGAGGGTGAAGACTTCCACGAGCGATCCCAAGACGGTACCATGCGAAGGGATTCAACCCCCACCCTGCCCCTCTTGGCACCGGGAGGGACCATGAACTTGGCCGGAGCAGGTTACCGCACCAGTGATGTGCAGGCACTTGAACAACACTTCCAAGGACATGGGACATGTTTGTTATTTTTTTTTTTTTTCCTGGATATTCAACCTGCGCTCAGGTGGGACTGAAAGATCAGCTTATTGCAAGCTTGTACTGCAAGCATGTGAGTTGTGATTGTTTCAACAGGATGACACAGTAAAACTCCTAATCTCTGTGTCGCTAAAAAAAAAAAAAAAAAGATATAAAACCCAAGACTTCTAGCAGGGTTAGGAGTGAAAGGGATTAGCAGAGCAGGACTTGTGCCTGTGAAACATCTACAGCTCCTACAGCAGAAGCGGAACAATTTGCTTAATTACATAATGAGCCTCTTCAGAGAAAATTAGTTGAAACATATGCTGGAGCGTGCAGAGAAGAGCCACAAAAGTGCTGCAAGGCTTCCAGAAAAAATTATGCTGGGAGACCTGGAGGACTGGAAAACATCAGCATGAAGGCAAACAAGAGAAAGAACAGGTCTTCGGGGAACAACAGGACTTTCTGCTGGCCACAGGGTGCTCATCGGCAGGGAATTTTAAATCTGGGGTGACTCAGTCCCCGGTGTGACGCACCCCAGGGTAAAAAACCTGCTGATGCCGAATGAATCGGAGGGATGGGGACAGGAATGGGAGGTCTCAGGGCTGCAGGGGGCCGGTGTCGACCCTCCACGGCTGTTTTCCCCCTGGCAGCAGACACGGAGACATGTCGGACACCTCGTGCCCCACAGATGGTCTCGCTCTGCCGCAACTGGAAGGGAGAAAGCATAAAGCGCTGAGGTCTGCAATCTCTCTGCCCGCACCGTCCAGCTCGGAAGCCACGGGATACATTTAAATTATTAACGTATAATTATTCCTCCTGCAAGATAACGAGTCGAACGAAGCACAGGATCGTTTTACAACCAAAGATGTCACGAGCTCAGCCAGCTCGTCCCTGCATGGGGTCGAACCACGAGCCACCGTCCAAGTCACATTTTTCCCCATTTCCTATCAGATGCGGGCAGTGGCCCTGAGAAGCTCGCGGCTGCTGAGTCTTCACAAAGGGCTGCTTGAGTGGGAACAATAGAGGAAAGAAAAGCATCAGGAGCTTCCAAGCAAACAGAGGCAAAACAGGTCCGAAGACAGATTTGGGACAGGGATGGACGACGCAGGAAAAACAAGACCCTTGAAGACGCAAGGACTGAAAGGGGATGCTCCAGGGCAAGGGAAACTCGGGATCAAGAGCTGGCTAAAATAATTTTTAACCACTTCCTTAATTTTTAACCTCCTCCTCTTACCCGCTGGGACCTGAACTCAGGGCCCCAGGTATGGCGAAGGAGGAAGGCAGCAAGTCGGGACGGGAGGTCCAGAAAGGAGCCTGAACTTTATCCTCAGTCCTGAAAAGCCATCTGAGAGCCACCCACAATGCCCTCGGCTTTTAAATTACGTATTTAAAATGCCTTGGAGCTTTGTGGCCACTTGGGCTTCAGAGTGAGCGGTCAACCTCTTCCTTTTGGAGCAGCAAACACTGCACCGGCAGACCTAAATCAGAGCGTGGGTATGATGGGAACGGGTACAGCGACACAGTGCAGCCCCCAAAAAATAAGTCAGTGCCAAGGAGGAGCCAAGGGCTGACCACAAAACCCATGAGGTTTGCGTTAGCTGCGAAACAGGAATGAGAAGCCGGGAGAGGTCAAGGCCACTTACATCTTCATCCAAGCTCGTTTGCTCCAAATCAACAATTTTGAACTGGACCCGCTTGAAAATTTCTTCCAGCGCCTCACAGGCTTTGTAATCCAGCTTCTCCCCTGGGGAAAGAGCAGAATCAGGTGAATTTGGGTGCTTCAGGACATAACATGCAGCACACATACAGCCGTGAGCTCAAGAGCCCCAAGACGCAGGACAGAGGACAGGTGGAAACACGACTTTCTCCCTCATTCGGAGGCAGCCCACCTTTCAAACCCGCCTGAAAGGAAATTCAAACCCAATACTGGACGTTCATGTCGATTTATTCACATGTGCCTGGCCCAGCTGAAGAAACCATCACCTCCGATGAGTGTTTCTCGTTAACAGACGGGAACGAGCCATCACAGGGAGCCCCCAAAGCTGCACTGGGGCTGGCAAACAGCCCCCCAAGCCGGGAGAGGGATCCGCAGGGAGACTTCAGAAAGGATGCCTCTCGCTCGGTTACATGTGGCGAGCTCAGAGGATTTTGGAAATCCACCTAAAAACCAGCACGGTTGCTCACCTGACACAGAGCAGCCACAGCAGCAATGCTTTTGCTGCCTAAAACTCACCAAAAAATGGCATTTCTGTCTCCCCACTGGGCAGACAGCCGTCTTCCCAACGAGCCAGCTCCTCGCCAGCTTCTGTCCATCTGGAATTACATTACGAGCATCTCCGCTGACAAACTAACGGTCGACTCATTACTCCTTTTGCTATACAAAAGCACCACAGGGTTGAAATTAAATCCCTGCACGCGCATTGTAAATACACACACCGTTTTGCTGCCTCTGACAAATCAAATCATTCACGTTTCAATTTCGGGAAGTGCTGGCACAAGCTGTCTCAAGAGCATTTCCCAAGACTTTGGGCTTTTTATTTACTTATTTATTTGCTTATTTCCTAGGACCACCCCTGCCAGCCCTGCGCAGCAGCAGGTCTCTGAGGCCAGAGGTGCTGGCCAGCCCGCAGACAAGCCACGAGAGCTCAACCCCTCTGGTTTACAGGGCTGCAACTTCCCCCATACCACTGCTTAAGCTACTTCTGGTTGAAAACCAGGCAGTTTTCCCCATTAAGCATCTGTACTGGCTGCTTTTAGATGCCGCATCGATCGCCAGTGGGTGACTCTGCCAGGCAAACTGAATTTGGGGAGGGGAGGACCTGCAAATGTGGAGGTGGAAGCTCTGCCTTTCCTGCCAACACCAGCAGATCCCATTCCCCGTACAAAGAACGAGGCGATGGCAGCCAGCTCTGGTACACCATTTCCTCCCTGCTGCAACCCCACCGATCCCTTCCGAAACACTGAAAGTCAAAAACGCAGCAGCAAACGGTCGCTCACCCGGGTCTCTAGCAGACCCACCAGCCTGTGTCCCACCAGGACCTCCCCAGCTGGTCATCGAAGGCGACAGTGATGGGGAATTGGCCCGTGCTTCCCAAATAGATTGCCCTTTCCACGCTGGAGCCAAGCCATGGGCTGATCTCACCCGGTGGAGGTGGGAATTCACTCAACAAGACCAGGGTGAGCTGTGGTCCCACATCTGCTCCCTCTGTGTCGAAGCAGGAGGAGGCCATGTCCGACACCAGTCCAAGCGAAAACGCAGCTTAAAATAAACCCAGAGTTTTGTTTCTGTTGTGATAACCATCGTGAAGGGGATCCAGTGCAGGGAAGAAGCGGCTACATGCCGGTTGAGAAATCGTCACGCAAAACAAATGCTGCGGAGGGAGACTACAAACCCTTTGCTAAAGGCTGAGCCCAGGCTCTGCTGGCGCTATATTGTGTCTAATGGCATAAAGCAACCAGCAGCTGGGCTTCTGCATTGCTTGGGGTCTTCTGAGAAAGCCCCACTTCCAGGGGAATGGGGACGCGGGCTCCGGCTTCCCAGCCAGCTGACAACTGCGGGGTTTATAAGTCAAAGAAAAGATCCCATCTGGTAAAATTGAGTCCAAATAATGACGATGGGGTCTGTAAAAGATTTATTTTAGGGGTTGTTCAGACAAGTTTGTGTTGTTATTCCTCCAGCAGCACGTCTGTCCTCCTCCAGGCAAATCAGTTCAGGACACGGACACCCCGGCTCCCTGCGCAGCGAGGTATTTTCTCGGGTTAGTTAATAGCAGCTCCCAAGTGGTTCCCTAGCCTTTGGGTTTCCCCCTGCAACACTGAATAAGCGACAACAGGCACCAAGTGCTACAGATTAAACTCCAAGACTTCATTCCCCAGAGGCAAGCTGGAGTTTGCTGGAGCAAACTCCATCCACTCGCACACCCACCTAATTTTGTGGGAAACCGGGACTGCCCGGGCAGGACCTCAGTGGGAGGCAGACGCTGCCGGGATGACCCAGGGCTGAGAGAAGTAACACCAGCACCATCGCTCCACGAAGGAAGAACGCTCCGGCCAACGCTGACCATTCCATCTTCTCCCCGGCTGTGCTGGGGGAACTTCCCTGGTACACAGTTGCTCTCGCTGTCAGTCTCCCAGGCTTTTGGGAGGCATCCCCCAGTGCAGAGAGGGAGAAGAGGCTCTTTAGGAAGGGAAGGAGACCAGCAGAAGGCAGGAGGAGAGAGGGAGCAACCTGCTGCAAGAAGAACCCCCCCTGAAATGTTTGCCTAGCAGAGATCTTGCAGGGAAGTGAAGGCAACCTTCTTCCTCTCCTTTCTGGAGTTACGGGACATGCTCCACAAAAGCCATCGTTCATGAAGACATTTCCAGTAAGGAGAACTAACTGGAACATCTTTCCAGTTTTCCCACGTGTGAGGAGTTTTGAGACATCAGTCAGAAAAGCACTGCAGCAAACCTGCTCCGGCTCAGCCCTAACTCATGACCCAAACAAGCTGTTTCGGGAGCAGGGGGTATGACCAGGGTGCTTGGAGGTGGTGAGGGACAGCTCGCTGCTTCAGGGGCCGCTGAAGCTGTTCTGCTGCTGTTTTGGTGCTCCTCGACCAGGAGACGTTAATATTCCTCCTAGAGAAACACCTCTGGTACTTACTTTTCTGTTCTTGCTGGGATTAAAGCACTCTCCTGCTCTAGCCTGCAAGAGCCCTGACTGTGACCACGACTTCAGCAAGAGCCGCACCAGTGGAATGAAACAGCAGGATTGCCCAGAAAAGAAATAAAATCCCCTGGTGATGGAAAAGGGGCTTACCTTTCAGATCTAAGCAGTCTATCCTGGGAGCCAGATCTTTAAATTCCTGCAAAAGAAAAAGCAGCATTTCATACCCTGGAGGAGGAGGAAGGTGGGGGGGAAAGGGGCGGGGAATTAAGGTGCTAGAATAACAAGGTAAGGTGACAAATTGGGCAAATATTCCCCCAAAGGAAGAGAGGATACGGGAACTCTCAGCCCAAGGTTCAGTCAAAATCAAAGTTGCCACATATGGCGCTTTGTGGGCTGGATCCAGATGAGTCATGGGGAGAGCTGGTGACCCTCCCTGGGACCAGGTCTTGGAGCTCTAAGAGGAAGGGCAGCTGATGAAGGTGATGGTCTGTCTCCATACATGGGGGCACCGGAGCCGTCTGGGGAAGGCACAGCAGGTGAAAAGGCAAAAATCTTCCCTCCCAGGCCAAAGGAAGAGGTTTAAATACTGTGCTCCAGTGTGCCACTCTCAGGCCTGAGAGTTTACATGGGATTTTTATTCACCTGGTGTGAGCAGGGAAAACCACAGTGCAGTTTTCCATCTAAAATAACTTGCGAGGTATAAACCAGTTTGCAAACAAGCCCGTTGCAGTCTCATCCCACGGCAGAAAGGCAGGCCAGGAGGGGGACAGTGGGGACGTCAGAGCCCACCTCCAGCACCCACTGCTGCCAACCGGGCTGGAGCTACCCCTGCACAGCAGCCTC